TCCTTTTATATATTTTGTTTCCCTGAGACTGAGCTCTGGTGCTTGGAGACAGCCCGGAGGCTTTAGGATAACTTACTTTAACCCTGAGCCCTGTGGTCAGAGGGGGAAAAAACTCCAGAAGCTCTTTAGTGGGCAGGGCCTGGGCTGAGTGACCACAGGCTTCCTAGCACCTCAGGCTCAGCTCCCTGGGAGGGCTGCAACGGCTCCCATTAAGGCCAAATATGTGGCTGAGACCACAGAGGGAGGGCCTCTGGTAAGAGCTTTGTGGGTTTTCTGCCTCTTTACTTCCTCCAAGGTATCTGGATTTTGTTATTTACTTGCTTTGTGTGTGTGTGTGTGTGTGTGTGTTCGAGCACGCTGGTGCTCTCGTACACTTGGAGCCCTATGTAGCTGGCCTGGAACTCAATTTATGTAGATCCAGTAGCAATCCTCCTGCCTCTGCCTCCCAAGTGATCATCAGATTGTAAATGTGAGCCATCATGCCTGGCTAATTTCAAAGAATCTTTTTTGTTTGTTTGTTTGTTTTGTTTTCCCTTTCCCGTAAGACAGGGTTTCTGTATGTAACAGCCACCCTGTTGTCCAGGGTGACCTCAGACTCACAGAGATCTGCCTGCCTCTGTGCTGGGGTTAAAGGCAAAGAGACATATGCTACCCGGCCTCAAAGAGTCTTCTATAAACATTTTCCCCCTATTAATAACTTAGAGTTAAGAAGGGGGGCATGACAGGCACCCAAATCTCTGCTGGAGCAGAAAGCAAGTGCCCTCCATGCTTACTAAAAGGCCAGGGCCACTAGAGTGTGTAGTGCTCTCCAGCTGTTCCTAGAACTCTAGACAAGGACTCTAAGTGCCCCAGTCGTGTTTAGGCTCCCTTGCTGAGATGAGCTTAAGACCTGGCCAGGTGACAGAACTCTGCTCACGGGGTCTGCCCACCTGCAAGGACTGGCCTGCACTTCAGAGCCCTGACACTGTCCTGCCTGCAAAGCCCAAAGCAGTGTTTTCTAGAGAAGGGAGCAGCCATCCGGCAGGGGGGTGGGGGTGGGATTCCTGGAGAAACCCAGGCTTGTATGGCACAGTCAGAAGGGGCCAGTTCTCTAGCGTGGCTGACTGTCCTCAAAGCCATGGGAGGGACCAAAGGGCCACTCAGCCACCAGAAAACCGATCCATCACAAATGCTAACCCAGGTGGAAATGCCAAGGTAAAAATCACCCCATGGCACCCACATTTGAAGGGCCTTTTTTCCTTTTTAGTTGTGTTTTGAAGTAGGAATAGTGCTGTATTTTAGGAGTCTACCGCAGGAGCTTTGTAAGACAGTCTGGCATGGACAGCACCCCCTCCCAGATTTTCAGGACATCCCCAGCATGGATCTAGCTAGGGTCCCCACTTGACAGAAACTGGCAGATATTTGTGCAGAGGCCTGCAGAGTTAATTCTGTTGTTCTCCATGGCATCCCAGGCACGAGTTCTCTGTCTTCATGTAGAGCCCACACTAGATGCCAGGATGTTGTTCAGACCTGACTTCAATTCATGAAAAATTCAGTTCCTGACTGCTGCCTCCGGATCTCGTTTGCTAGGTTCCAGATCCCAGCTCCCTTATCTGTTAAGCAGGGATAACTTTCCTAGCTTCTTTGAAAGGGAACAGTGAGTGACTGTCAGAGCCATAGCAACACCTGCCCTTGGAAAAGGCTCTCCTTAACTAGATCTGCTTAGACCTCCGCCCCTCACACCCAGCCCTCTGGCTGACAGTGAAGAATCTAGACAGCTCACAGCTAGCTGCCTGGATAGCCAACTTCTCCTCCCCCCTCCCCCCATTTTTCTTTTTTTTCTGACAGGGTGTCTTGTAGCCCAGGCTGGCCTTGAACTTACTAGGTAGCTAAGGCTGGTCCTAAGTCCCGATCCTCCTGCTTTGGTCTCCCAAATCCTGGGAGTAGCATATTGCTACTGTGCCAGACAAACTACTTCTTTTGAACAGTGGGTTTTAGTCTAGTTCTTGCCTAAAATCCATTCCACAAAGCATAGATTAGCATGATTCTTGGTGGTGAATCCAGAGTGCAGAGTTACAAAATAACCATTTTACAGGCTGCCATTTTGCCCTTGTCTGGTCCTTCCAGTTGTGTGGCTGAAAGTATATCCCACTGGGAAACAACCCTTAAAATTATTTATTTGTTTGTCTAGGTACTTGCTTATTTCAGACAGGGTCTTACTGTGTAGCCCTGGCTGACCTGGAACTTACAATGTAGAACAGCCTGGCTTGCTTCTGCCTCCCGAGTGAAGAATGTCTTTGGCCTCGGCTTTTTGTGCCCTGTGTGGGATCTAAAGCCAGAGTACCCTCGGGTGTGTTGTGGCTTATGTGACTGACAGGGTGCAGGAGTTGTGAGCCTTAGTTGAATGTAAAGGCAGTTACATTCAACTCGTGATAGTTTCGTTAACAGCTTCATGTTTGAACTGAAAGTTGGGAAAGCAATCTTTGAGTAATTATAGCCAGGTTTTTGTTGTTTAGCTGATTAGTCTTATTTTTTCTTCTCTGTCTCTGCCCCCCCCCATCCCAACCCAACACACCCAGCCTCTATTTTCTTTTTCAGTGTTGTGGGATCACATCCAGGGCCTGGTACATGTGAGGCCCATACTCTATGGCTGAGCTATAGTCCCTAGTCTTTTTTCAAGGGTTGTCTTCCTTCCTCCCTTCCTTCCTTCCTTCCTTCTTCCCTCCCTCCCTTCCTCCCTCCTTCCCTCCCTACCTGCCTCTCTCCCTCCCTTCCTTGTCCGTTTTCCTTTTGTCTCAGTATGTAATACAGGCTAGTCTGAACTGGTAGAGACAGATTTTGAGTATCTCAGTTCAGGTAGTTAGTGGCTAGGGCTGTGCCATCACTTTGGTCCTTAAATTGTGACTGTCATCCAGTGAGGTGTAAGGTAGCTACCACCATTACAGATGAGAAAATGGAGGTAGCTGATGCTGAGAGACTTGCCCAGTGCCTTTCCTCGTCAGTGACGGTGTGGAAATGAAAGCAGAAGCTATGGTAAGCTGCCCCGGATCAGTCTGTGATGTTTCTGGTTTAAGTAGCTTACCCACGATCACACTGTCTGTAAACAGCAGGGGCAGGGTTCAGGAAGGCCTGTTTCTTAGCCATGGAGACACTGTTCCTCTGGATAGAGGTGGAGCAGTAGGTGGGGAAGCATCTGGTGCTGTGTCCCCCTCCCTGGGGAGGTGACCATCACAGTGATGGGATTCTATTGGGCTGGTGCCTCCTCATGTTTGCTGACGTCACTAATGAAGTTATAACTGTACTGAGGGAAGTAAATGACTAACAGGACAATTATAAACAGCTCTCGTTTGTCTTTGACCCTCTCAGTTGGTTTGTTCTGTTTTAACTGTATGAAATCATTCTGCTTTAAAACTTGATATTCTAGCCAGGGAATGGTGGCGCACATCTTTAGCCCCAGCTCTCAGGAGGGAGGCAGAGGCAGGCAGATCTCTGAGTTTTAGGTGTTCTTTATTTTAATTATATGTGTTTGCATGCATGTATGTTAAGTACACTGAGTATAAGCCCGTGGGAACCAGAAGAGGTCACCGGAGAGCCTGGAACTGGAGTTACAGATGCTCAAGCTGCCCTGTGGGCGCTGAGGACTGAGCCCTGATCCCCTGCAAGATCAGCAGGTGCTCGTAAATGCCAAGCCATCCATCTGCCCCTAGCTGTTTATTTTTATTGTTATTATTACTATTATTATTACATTGATAGAGTAAATTCTGGAAGTGTGGATACAGTCTTGAAATATTTAAATTCTGGAAATAATTTAGTCCCTGGAAAATGAGGTCTTTGTGTTGTGTTTTGCAATTCTGGGCATAGAAACAGGGCTGGGTTTTTTTTTTTTTTTTTTTTTTTTTTTTTTTTGTACTTTAGGGAAACATTTACTACGCTGTCTTAATAAAGTTTCACTGGTAGCTCAGACTAGTGATTTGCCTGCGTTGGCCTCCTGAGAGCTGGGGCTGTAAGTACACACTGCCACCCCCAGCTTGAGCTTTTAAATATGTTCTCAATGTTATATGGAGATTATAAGCATTTCTTCTATTTTCTTTTTTCTAGGTTTTTTTGTTTGTTTGTTTGTTTTGTTTTGTTTCTTTGAGACATGGTTTCTCTGTGTAGCCCTGGCTGTCCTGGAACTCACTTTGTTAATCAGGCTGGCTTCGGACTCATAGAGATCCACCTGCCTCTGCCTCTGGGGTGTTGGGATTAAAGATATGTGCCACCACCACCGGCTGTTTTTCTCCTTTTCAAAAACTTTTATTAGGGGCTGGAGGGATAGCTCAGTGGTTAAGAGCACTGACTTCTCTTGTAGAGGACCCAGCACCCACAACTGTCCATAACTCCAGTCCCAGGGGGTAGGATACCCTCCTTTGGTCTCCGGGGACACCTAGGTATGCACATAATACACAGACATAGATGCAGCCAGAACACCCAAACACATAAAATAAAGTTTTATTAGCACAGTATTTTCATTGTGACATTTGTATATATGAATATAATGCATTCTGATCTTACTCACTCTGCATTACCCTCTCGTCTCATTCCCACTGAATCCCTGTATCCGTTCAGTGTGTGTATGTGTTGTGTGTGTGTTAGTTTTGACTCACTGAGTTTTAGTGGGGATTCTTATAGGAGCAGACACCTGAAGAAAGAAAGCTTTCCGCCCCTTCACTCTTTTGGGGGAACAGGTTCCTACTTAGCCCAAGCTCACTGTGTAACTGAAACTGGCCTTGAACTCCTGATCCTCCTACTTCATTCTAAGTGTTGAGAGGCATGTGCCTCAATGCCCAGCATGTCCCTTGTCATTTTACCCCTTCAAAAGAAGGATTTCTCCAAAGTCAGATAGAGCTCGTAGAGAGGGAGACTAAGTCACACTTGGATGTTCATCCTACTCGGAGTCTTTGGCACGGGATGCTGAGTTGGTGCTCTAGTGTTGCGGGGAGATAGAGACCTTGCCCTCACCTGACTTTGTATTCTTCTAGGTGTCCTTGGTCACCATGAAGCCCCTGCACCCAGCCCTCCCTAGCTGCCTCCTGTTGGTGCTGTTTGGTATCTGGAGAATTACCGCCCAGACTCATGCCTCATCGACTGCCATGCTGCCCCTCAGCGCCACCTCTTTCCTGAAAGATCTCATGAATCGCTATGGGGAGAATGACAGCCTTACTCTGCCACAGCTGAAGGCCCTGCTCAACAAACTGGATGTGGGAGTAGGCCGGGATAACGTTACCCAGCCCGAGGAAGGACACAGGAACCTCTCCACGGTAAGGCTGCCCTCGGTCAGGTAGGCCTTGGAGGCAGTCGGCTCCCACCTTTGTTGCGCTCCACACATTCTGCATGTCCAGTGAGGCCTCCGGACTACCTACATGTTGGTTTGCAGCTGTGCCTAGGTCACTAGCTGCAAGCCATGGCTCCCAGGACAGCATATCCGGTAGGGTTTGCTGTTTACACACCATGCCAGGCGCAAGTCACAATCCCTTCAGGTGCAAGGGGAATTGTTTTTCTGGGGAGCGGCTTCACGAGGGTTCCTGGGATGGGGTTGATGCTCTAGTCTCAGGCTTTTACTGGTCTCGCCTCTAGTCTCAGCTAAAACCCGGGGCTTTTAGCTCTTGGTTCCTTGGTCTTCCGCATTATCACAGCTACTCAGAGAACCTGGGCCTATTTGTGGCAGCCCGATAGGTCAGCCAGCAGAGCATTGTGGGAAGTGGAGAAAGAGGATTCAGGGAGCTCACTAGTTAAGAGCACTGGCTGTTCTTGCAGAGGCCCCCATATCCATGGTTGAGTTGAGCTCAGCTAGCTGGAATGAAAGCAAAGTACCACATTTTGTGGGCTGCGCTGTAATTATGGGGTTTGTCTATGAGATGGAAATGAAGGTACCAGAATAGTTGAGGGTTTGTGCATAGGACATAGCCACACCTAGAGGGATGGATAGGCTGAGGCGTGAAAGAAGTGAACAGGATGTATGTAGCATGCATGCCAGCTGCTCAAGTGTGACAAGTTTCAGCATTACCGGGGAGGCCTAGTGTGCCATATGGGCAGTGGGAGAGAGGCTGACCAGTGATCAGGGGATTTACACACGGGCTTTAGGGTCTATAGCAGTGTTCTGGGGTTAACAGAGTGCAGCCCTTAAATTTTATAGGTCTAAAAAACCTATATTGTTGGCACTCCCAGAGGACTAACTCTCGGGGGGTAGACCCTGGTAAAACCACACTCACAGAAAGGACTGTGGCTTATGTGAATGAACAACAATTAGAAAAATGGCAGTGTGGGCTGGGGAGGTGTTTCAGTGGTAAGAGCCCTTGCTTTGAAAGCTTGAGGACCCAAGTTTGAATGCCCAGAACCCAAGTGAAAGGCTAGGTAGCCATGCTTCTCTGTAGTCCCAGCGCTGTGTTTCACCAGCTGCCAGCCTAGCTCCCGGTTCAATGAGAGACACGGTCTTAAGGGAATAAGGTAGGGAGACTAGTAGAACAAGACACCCAGTGTCCCCTCCTGGCCTTGTGAATATGTGTGTACAACATGTTCATGCATGCCCGCACAGAGAGGGGGGGTGGGGAGGGCTCTCAAATTCAATTTCCCCAAGGTCACAACGGGTGCCTGTGTCTGCTAACCAGCACACACCCATACTCCAGTAGAAGTTTCTAGAGTCTGCATTTTAGCAGACTAGTTCCCTGGGCTGTTGTGACGTGCAGCCAAATTTGATACCAGCTTTGCAAAAAAGAATTCTGTTTTCCCAAAACCACATCCTGGTCTCATGATTGGAATCTTGTCCTCCACTGCCCCCCACCCCTAGTAGGGTCGGACATGGACCTTCCAGGTGCATACTAGATAGACACGCTATGCCTGAGTTACATCCCCCAGAACTCTTTTTACTGTATTCTCTCTTCACTTGGAGCCAGGGCCTTGCTGAGCCTCTCAGGCTGGCTTTGAATTCGCACTGTGGCCCAAACATGCTTTGAAGCTGCAGTCTTCCTGCCTCAGCCATCCAAGTAGCTGAGGTTAGGGTCCCAAACCTCTTCCTGCAACCATTTACACGTGTGTGTACTAAGCATTCGCTAGGATGGTGGCTGACCTTTTCAAGTGTGGGGATTTCCTTTCTCTCGTCCCTGGAGATGAGTCTCCAGAGTCACCGCAATTTGGCTGTGTCCGTTTCCTCTTTATTTCTCAAAGGGTTGAGTGTGTTGCCACTTAGCGGGGCAGGGCACGACTTTTAGAGTCTTAACAGCCCTTCCACCCCTCCTCTGGTTTCAGTGCTTTAGCTCTGGAGCCCTCTTTGGTGCCCACAATTTCAGTGAGCGATCTCAGATCGGGGTGAGTGAGTTTCGGGAGTTCTGCCCCACCATCCTCCAGCAGTTGGATTCCCGGGCTTGCAGCTCAGAAAACCAGAAGAATGAGGAAAATGAGCAGACAGAGGAGGGGAAGCCTAGCGCCATCGAAGGTAAGTAAGGAGCCGAGGGGGGGGATGGAGTGATGGCAGATGTGATGATTGACATGTGCACCAGACCCTGGGTGGGCTGGCTGGTGAACACAGGGCATTGGGCTGTGGCCAGCATGTGAATATGTTTTTTATTCTTTGTTTTCATTAAACTGTAAGAGTGCCAACCTTTATGACCTCCCTTGGCTACTTCATTATCCCCACCTCCTAGTAGCAGCCCTCTAGTTAGAGTGGATTCACCCCGCCTGAGTCCTTGAGTGCCTTTCTGAAATTCTGTATGGCCAGCGAGGGGCTACCAGACCTAGCGTGTTACCATCATAAGTACATGTACTGTCTAAGCTGTGGTATCCACTCCACTATGTTGAGCCCACAGTCTCTTCCTCTAAAAGGTAAGCTGCTCTGGCAGCAACCTTGACATCGTTTTTTCTGAGGCTTCCCTAGCAGGAGATGGGAGTCACCAAACATTCCTGAGGGGCTGCTGGATCGCTCTCAGCAGCACAAGTGCCCGCCCTCAGTAATGGAGGCTCTCATCTGTTTTTATTCCTCCACAGTGTGGGGCTTTGGGTTCCTCAGTGTCTCACTGATTAACCTGGCCTCTCTCCTGGGAGCCCTGGTCCTGCCATGCACGGAGAAAGCGTTTTTCAGCCGTGTGCTCACTTACTTCATCGCCCTGTCCATTGGAACGCTGCTCTCTAACGCACTCTTCCAGCTCATCCCAGAGGTGCAGTAGAACAGGCGCGCGTTCACTTCTCCCGGCTGCCCCGGCCGAGTCTTCCTCCAGCTGACATTCTCCCTCTCTGCTCTAAGGCTCCCAATAACTGCCACCCCAAAAGTGAATTTACTCTTCGTATCAGGGAGTCCAGTAACTTCTCTCATGCCTCTGTGCACTCGGGTTGGCCTCTGGTCCCTTCAGGTGACATCAGATGCAAGGTTCTTAGCATATGAGCCCCCTCTTGGGGATCCCCTTTTGGCTGCATTGCAGAACCCCATTTATGGGATTCCAAAGGAAAGTTGCAGTTTGTGGGTGCGGTGTGCAAGGCAGGCCCCATTATCGAAAGGAACTCCTGGGGGTGCTCACACATGGACATCAGTTGACCGTCAGTGAGGAATGAGGCAGGCAGGCAGGCAGGAAGGCAGGCAGGAAGGCAGGTAGGTAGGTTACAATGGCTCTGTCTAGAACTGGCCTCAAAAACATGAGTCTGGTTTTTAATTAAGGCAGCTGTTGCAGCTCGTGCTTGCAGAAGCAGCACTTGGAAATTTGATGCAGGGGGATCACAGCTTTGGGGCAACTTAGCAAATACGTTGTTCTCACCAAAACAAACCAAACAAATGCAGTACATGAAAGAGAAGCTCAGTTGTTGGTACCTTGCATCTTGATCTCTCCCTGACAGGTCTGACTTCCTGGTACCTCATCCTACTGTTTGGAAGTGTTCAGTAATTTTGTTTTTTAATTGTCATCAGTAAGGAGCTACAAAAATAAGACCCAAGTTGACAGTCTGCCCACCTTTTCAACCCAGTCACGTGCTACTGTTGGAGAAATAGTATGTCTCTACCTGGCTGACCCCTTTGGTAATGGGAAAGCTTCATAAAAGCTCATGTATATCACTGGCTTCAAAACCCCCCTCAGCCAAGAGACTGACCTAGGCAAGCCTCCATAGGAGCTGCCAAGCCCCACCCATTTCCTCCTTTATCGTGAGGGAAGAACGGGGTTAAGTCAGCTCCCCTAACAGTTTCAAAATTCCCAAGGGAGACCTCATCTTGGGCTATTTTTTTCAGCTCCAGCCAATGAATTTACTAATTTTTTTAGGGATTTGAAATGAAATGTTCCGTTGCCTGTTTGGCTGGTACTACTGCCATTGCCCGTGTTCCGCCCTTGGGGTCACACGAGGGTTGCCATCCTGGTACAGTTTTGTGCTGCCCCCTCCTGAGGGCTGTGCTCACAACCCAGAGTGTGTCACCCTGGAAAACGCATTTGAAATACATTTTTATGATGAGCTGGTCTTGGAACTCTGCTTTCTACACCGAGTCCCTCTCAAAGTAAATAGGAACAAACAAATGCAACTGCTTAGAAACCAAATCTGATGGGCATCGAGTCTTAACCTGTTCTGCCCTGCACAAGCCAAACCATCCTTGGGTAGTCATGTGTGCCTCTGTGACATGGCTTAATTAACTATGCAGAAGCAAAGCCAGGAACATAGCGAGCTTCTCTTCGAATTAAAAGACCTGAGTGCAAGGCCTTTGCTGGTCCAGAGCACGTGGTGTGTGTGTGAGTGATGAGGCTGCACCCTGCCCTGTTTGCCAGTCACACCAGCTGGCTGGTATGACCCAGGCCACCTCAGGAGCAAGGGCGGTAGTCACAGGGTTCCCAGGCCACCTCAAATTCCTCATACCCTCCTGCACTGATTGAAGGAAATTGCATCAGACTCGAATCACTAACAAGTTTCCTATTTCTCTCTCCCTCCCTACTTGTCTCTGGTTTTTCTATTTGGGTTCCTTTGTTAATACCCACAACTCTCCTCTCCACCTCCTTCCCCTAATGGTGGTTGCCTTGCTCCCTGTCCTGGGTGGGCTGGCAGTCTGGGGGTACGGTCTCCTCTGCGTTACCGTCATCTCCCTCTGCTCCCTCATGGGGGCCAGCGTGGTGCCTTTCATGAAGAAGACTTTTTACAAGAGGCTGCTGCTCTACTTCATAGCCTTGGCGATTGGAACCCTCTACTCCAACGCCCTCTTCCAGCTCATCCCCGAGGTATGGCAAGCTGCAGCATTCACCCCAAAGCACCCTGTCTACTAGTAGGCACGGGGGAGGCTCCTCTGTCTGCATGGAAGGCTTAGGAACTAATCCCCAAGGTCCTTTCTGTTTGTAAAGTAAAGCTAGGACCAAGGCAGGAGCTAGGAGAGGTTTGAGAGCTAGGTTGAAATCCCATCCTTCCTATCTCCAGATTATATATCCTGGACCAGCCATTCACCTCTCTGTTCTTTGTATAAAATGGCAGATAATAGGATTGACCTCTAAGACATATGAGTGCCTCCAAAGGGCCAGCGTTGCTGAGTGAAAAGCCAGTGTAACTTGGGACTGGAGAGATGGCTCAGTGGTTAAGATCACTAGCTGTTGTGGTTTGATTCCCAGCACCCACACAGAGCTTACAAACTGTAACTCCAGTCCCAGAGGATTCGATGCCCTCTTCTGGCCTCTGCAGGTACACTTATAGTGCATATATATATATATATATATATATATATGCAGACAAAACATTCATACACATAAAATACTTATTTTTTTAATAAAAAAGAAAAACAAGCTAGTGTAGCTCTGGCTCAGTGTGGGGCTTCAGTCCAGAGAACCAAAACAACAGAATGTACAGGTCTCGGTGAAAAGCCGGTTCTCTTTGGTAGGGAGTTTGAGGGCCCAGGAAATCCAAAGGAAACACAACATCTACAGCAACTTCATGTGGTGATCTTCCACGGAAGAGAAGGCAGCAGGTGTTTTGAAGCCTGGGTAGTCAGCTTCGGAGACATTCCATCTGACTTAGTGAGATACCTTCAGTAGACCCAATAATTAGAATAAGCACAAGGCATTTCACTGTAGGTGGTCTGACAGGCCTGAGCAAAGGCAAGAGACGTTTTCACATGCTTCTGAGAACAATGTTTTCCACAGTATTGCTTGGTGTTCCTAGTGGAGCAGCCGTGGTAGCTGTCGACCGACTGTTTTTCCCACAGAGCCTGACCTGCATGAGAGGCCACTCCTCCAAGCCCAGGGCCCATGAGTCTGATGGGTCCTGTGGCCTTGCATCCCCACCTCGCCTCCTGGCTTTTTCCCAGGGTGCTCACCCGAAAGCCCTGCTTCTTTAGCATTTGCCCTCTGGGTCTCTTAAGATGGTTGCTAGAGGGCTGGGACTGAGCAAAGTGCTCTGAACACCTGGAGGAAAAATGCTTGCCTTTGGAGGACCATGGGGTTCCCCTTCAGGAAGGTCAGCTTCTGTCCTGTTCCAGGGAGCTGGAAGATTTTTAAATTTAATTGCATTTAATTTAATTAATTAATTTTGGGTTTTCTAGACAGGGATTTTCTGTGTAACAGTCCCGACTATTCTGGAACTCACTCTAGACCAGACTGGCCTCAAACTCACAGAGATCCGCCTGCCTCTGCCTCCCAAGTGCTGGAATTAAAGGTGTTTATTTTTTGAGGCAGTCTCATTTCAGGATCTCAAACACCCTGTCTTCCTGCCTCAGCCTCCTGAGTGCTGGGAATGGAGTTTCTATGACTCTGTTCTCTGTTAGAGAAGAGACAAATGGGTCATTGGGCACTTGACTCCGTAAACCAGGAGCTGAATTAGGTCAGGACTCTGGCTATTCCTGTCTTCTGTGTCAACAAATCCTTTTTTTCTTTCCTTATTTAATATGTAAAGTTTCCTGAAGGAACTCAAAGAAACATATCCTCCATTCCATTCTTTTTTTTAAAAAAAAAAATTTGTTTTTTATTCTTTTCTAAAGAGATGGAATCTTTTTGGGCAGGCTGGCCTCATATTCCTGGGCTCGGGGTCCTCCCACCTCATCCTGAGCTGTGGAAACTGAGTCATGTGGTGTAACTAGGGCTGGCTTTAAACCACCCTAAGATTGATGCCTGCAGGGATGTAGCCTGCTTTTTTGGTCTGTGGTCAGGAAAATGCTGCAATTCTTGCTGTGGAACTGGAATGGATTTCCCTTTTTAGCAATCATAACTAAACCACTTCCCATTGTGTTCATGGGCAGATCAACCAGGGACACTGGATGAGACAAAAATAAATGCAAGTGGCCTCCCTTTAAATGTCGAAGTTGATGACTTGGTGCTCGTGTAGCTAAGTACTGACAGAAATTAAGGCAGTGCTCTCATTAAAAGAGAAAAGCTGTCTTCGGTCCCCAGTGCTGGGGAGGTAGGGGCAGGCTGCTGTATGAGTCTAGGTCAACTTGGTCTATGTAGTGACACTTAGGAAGAAAGGAAGGAAGGAAGGAAGGATAGAAGGAAAGAAGGAAGGAAGGAAGGAAGGCTGGGCATAGTAGCACATGCCTATAATCAACACTTTGGAGTGTAAGGTAGGAGATTGCTGTGAGTTTGAGGCTAGCCTGGGCTATGGAATGAGATCATATTTCAAGAGAGACCACCACCAACAGCAACAAACAAAAAAGTAGAACACCACCTGCAGTGTTTTTTTTCTGGAGCTCAAGGCTGTAGAGATGGCTCAGCAGTTAAGAATGCTTGCTTCTCTTTCAGAGGTCCAGAGTTTGGTTCCCAGCATATATATGACTTACAGCTGCCTACACCTGCAGGCTCAGGTGACCTGACGCCTCTTCTGGCCCCCTTGGGCACCCATTTGCACATGTAAACAAACACGGACACATACATATAATCTAATTGTATACCTGATATATATGATTTCTATCATATATATGGGCTGGAGATGTAGCTTAGTGGTAGAGTGGTACACCTTAGCACACATAAGGTCCTGGCTCCAAACCTCAGGGTTGGGAAATACTAAAGCTGGTCTGTATTTTTTATCAGAATACCCAACCCACAGAGCTAGTGCTGACAGGTCAGGGGAATGCCAAGGTTAGGTTTTTGCGGCACGAGAATGTGCAGAGAGCAGAGCTCCCCGGGCTGCCTCTTTCCTAGAGCGGAGAGATCGGTAAGCAGGTGACAGGGAGTGATGAAGGCTTATTTACCTAAACTCACTCTCTTTTCCTGTGTCCACAGGCCTTTGGTTTCAACCCTCAGGACAATTATGTCTCCAAGTCTGCAGTGGTGTTTGGCGGCTTCTACCTTTTCTTTTTTACAGAGAAGATACTGAAGATGCTCCTGAAGCAGAAAAATGAGGTGAGCCCTGGGGGTAGCGATGGAACATTTGGGGAAACCTCTAACTTCAAACAACGATGTCATGGGCCAGCAGTGTGTGAAGGCTCTTGCAGAGCAAGCCCGGCAGTCTCTGTAGAAGGCAGTAAAGAGGCTTGGTGACAGACACCCAGGAACAGCGCTGACTAGTAGCTCCAATAAGAGGTCTCCAGTACCTGGCAAGAGGCCACTGCCTGTAAGAGTTGAATGAAGTGGCCATCTTGAAGGAGGAATCTTACTGTAGAGAGTAGTGGTCACCTCACTGGATTGAGTGTCATCAAGAGACTACTTCTTTGTCCAATAAGAAGTCCTTGTCTTCATGTGTGTTGCCACTAATATGTTCCCCCTATCCCTGTGTGTGGCCTTGGATTTAGAAATAAGATCTTCCCTGGCGTTATCGTGCTTCCTCCCAGAAGGTGTCGTGTTGGGCTAGTGGTTTTGGTCAGTAACACCATCCCTTTTCGATCTCTAGCACCATCATGGACACAACCATTTTACCTCCAACACTCTCCCTTCCAAGAAGGACCAGGAGGAGGGTGTGACGGAGAAACTACAGAATGGGGACCTGGACCACATGATCCCTCAGCATTGCAACAGTGAGCTTGATGGCAAGGCAGCTGGCACGGACGAGAAGGTCATCGTAGGCTCCATGTCTGTGCAGGTCAGCAGCCACCAGCTCCTGGGGGAGCCTCTAGGAAGCCCTGGCCTTAGTGAGTCAGGCTTAACTGGAGTCATCCTGAAATCTCAGGTCAGCTGGGATATGCTTTCTCCTAGGACCTGCAGGCATCCCAGAGTGCTTGCTACTGGCTCAAAGGGGTCCGATACTCTGACATTGGCACCCTGGCCTGGATGATTACCCTGAGCGATGGTCTTCACAATTTCATCGATGGCCTGGCTATTGGTGCCTCCTTCACCGTGTCTGTTTTCCAAGGCATCAGCACGTCAGTGGCCATTCTCTGTGAGGAATTCCCACATGAGCTGGGTGAGTATACATTGCCTGTCTCTCTGGACCAGCTGTGTCTCATCTCCTGTTGCCTCTTCCTTTTGCACCTCAGCTGTGTTCCATCTAACTCCCAAAATAAAACAGTTGAATAGAGTGTAGCTTAGAATGGTGACGGTTTTTACAGGAAGACTTTTATTCTGTGAGCCTCATATACTGTGGCTTGATCTTCTCACCTGTGTGGTTAATAACTTCACCCACCTTTTAGAATCATCAAGGGGATTATAAGCAAGGGATACAGACTTAGCTGGTGCCGAACACTATTCTGGATACTCAGCGAAGACGATTGTCTCTTACATCCTTTTCATCCTGCAGAAACTTGGAGTCTGCTAAAGTATGGCAGGTGAATAAGCTAGAAAAACCAGAGCTTAAGGATGCATATAGTTTTACCAAGGAGAGTAAGAAGCCAGGACTCAAGACTCAGGGACAGCCCAGGGTCCCAACTTTGGCATATGTTGGCTTGTGGTTAATTTCTCCCTCTCTCAGTTTTGTTTCCTGACTGTGCCATCTTAGGAGAAAGGGAGCTATTTTTATTTCAGTCCAAAGAGAAACGAGGCCATTGTTAGTTGGCTATCTACTTTTAAAATCCTATGAGTTATTTCCATCTTCTAGGTGGGGAGCAACAAGGCCATTGCTGGTTATTCAAGTACTTTCCAAACCCTATGAATTCTTTCCAGCCCCTGGGGGAGGCCAGAGCCAGAGTTGGAAGATGGAGGTGCCTTCATCCACCATTGAAGCAATCTGATTCATTAGTCCTTTCTCATTCCTGTTGTAGGAGACTTTGTTATCCTGCTCAATGCTGGTATGAGCATCCAGCAAGCTCTCTTCTTCAACTTCCTTTCTGCTTGCTGCTGCTATGTGGGTCTGGCCTTTGGCATCCTGGCTGGAAGTCACTTCTCAGCCAACTGGATTTTTGCACTGGCTGGAGGAATGTTCTTATATATTGCTCTAGCTGATATGGTAAGTGTGCCGTGGCTATAATTACCCTTGAGTAGGAGGGAAAGGACACAAGTTAGAATGTTTGTTTTTTAATTCTTTTTACATTGATTTTTGTGTGGGTACGAGTTCATTCTTGTGGAAGACAGCTTGTGGGGGCAGATTTTCTTTATCTTATGGGTTCCTGAGATGGAACACAGGTCCTCAGTCTTGGCAGCAAGTACTCTTTCACACTGATCCATCTTGCCAGCCCATGATTTTGTTTTTAATAACAGCTTTATTGAGATCTCTTTCCCATGCCATACAATTCACTAAATCAGTGATGTGACAGTTCAGGGCTAGAGAGATGGCTCTCCTGTTAAGAGCATTGGCTGCTCTTGAAGAGAACTCAGGTTTGATTCCCAGCACCCATATAGTAACTTAGAGCCATCTCCAGCTACAGTTTCAGGGGATCCAACCTTTTCTGTCCTGCTAGGGCCCAGGCACCCATGTGGTACACAGACATACATGCAGGCAAAATGCCTATACATATCAAACACATTTTCAAAATTCAAAAATGATAGAATCAGCATTTTCAAGGCAGCATTAGGGTTTTCTGTCTGTTTGTTTGAGACAAGAGGCTTACTTTTTAGCCCAGACTGGTCTTAGAGTCATTGAAGTCTGCCTCAGCTGCCCAAGGGCTGGGCATACAGGAGTAACCACCATCCCAGTGAATCATTGGTTGTTGTTGCTTTTTTAATTTATTTATTTTATGTATTTGATGCTCTATCTGCATGTGTGCAGATGTGTAGGATCTGATGTCTAGTAGGACATCAGATCCTACTAGAAATGGTTGTGAGCCACCATGTGGTTGCCAGGAATTGAACTCAGGACTTCTGGAGGAACAGCCAATGCACTTAACCACTAAAACATCTCTCCAGTCCAATTCATTGGATTATAAAGGGAGAATTTTGGTCCCCTCTGTTGCCATAACATTAAGGAAAATTGACTATAGTCAGTCCAGGGTCCGTGTTTAATTTTGTTAGAGATGTAAAAAGAAAAGAGTAAAAGAGAAAGAACATTACTGTATCATAAATAATGAAAACTATATCTTTGTTTTAATGTTTTTGAGAATTTCATATGTGAATGCTGTATTTACATCCATTTGCTCCTTCTTCCTCCATATCCTCCAAATTCTGTGTCATCATCCCCCTGCCCTGCTTCTGCTCAAATTCATAGCCTCTTTTCTCCAATTATTACACACACACACACACACACACACACACACACTACATATATATTACACAAACACATACAAACTGCTGAGTCCATTTAGTGTTGTTTGTATGTATTATGTGTATTGGATATCCAACTAGAGGGCTCATCCCTGGGGAAGTCTGATCCTCCCTCTCTGAGTAGTCATTGTCTATAACTCTTCATCTGTGGCCATTGGTGTCAGCATCGTTCAGGTCTTATTTCCGGCAGCCATATTGTTGAGAACTATAGGTGATGGCCAAAGATAATGCCCCCAATGACTTACTTCCTCTAGAGAAGTCACCAGAACCTCCAAAACACCACTACCAGAAATGGGGTGGGGTGGTGGATTCAAACGATAACTTGTCCCAGTCACCACGTTGGTAAGATGATATCGGAAACTGTAACTCTCTTTTCTCAGTTCCCTGAGATGAACGAGGTCTGCCAAGAGGACGAAAGGAAGAACAGCTTCTTGGTCCCCTTCGTCATCCAGAATCTCGGCCTCCTGACTGGCTTCTCCATCATGCTGGTCCTCACAATGTATTCAGGACAGATTCAGATTGGGTAGGGCCCTGCCAGCGGAGAGCCAGTGGCATTGCACGTCAGACTCTGGGCCTTATGTCCCTGGCCTAAGGACTCAGCATCCATGAAGCGTCATGGAAGAGGCAGTTCAGATGTCAGCTGTTTCAAAATGTTCTGTCCTAGGAAGAACCTGCCCTGGGACTCTCTAGGTAGTGCCTCAAACCGTCTCCCAACCCTTCCCGCGGATGATTCTGGAACTGAAATGCCTCCCTCGTGTAGGACACACCTCCCTTTTCCTTCTGGTTACCCTCTTCTGTCTTTTTCTCTTGGAGGAAGCACTGAGATGTTGAATCTTTTACAATGCAAAAATGAAGCCAGTGGTCATGGTTTGGTTAGAAATATTAGGGTGGCATCTGGCTTTGGGATTCTGAAAGTGCTGTTCTGGACATCAGGTCACTCCATCTTGACATGGGTCCTCCTGTTTTTACAGAGATAGGACAGAAGATAAGAATCCCCCCCCACTTTTTTTTTTCCCAGTCTGTTCAGTTAACAGTTCTCTGAAAGAGACTGGCATTCTGAGCAGTTGAGGCAGGGGGTCACCTTGAGTGTCAAAGAGGTAGAACTCATGGTGGATGTCTTGCCTCCTTGGTGTTCTCTGGTCTCCACGAGGATGCTGGGTGCTGGTTGTGTGCAGCATCTATGTCTCAGAATCAGCCAGGTGAGCCACAGCGGGCATACTTCGGAGTAGCAAGAGATCTGCACTAGATCACTTCGTTTTGCCCTGATTTTCACACACACCTCCTCTTGGCTTCCTTTTTCTAGATACTTTTTTTAGATGCTTCACTAGGAGCACATTTAAAATTTTGCATTAAAGGGGAAATTGCACAAATCTCCCCTGGTCTAGACTTGTGTCAAGTAGAGCCTGTTTCAGAATCGGGACACAGTTGTTTATTCCTTAAACAAAAGTAATCACAATGGAGTCAGTGCTCACCAAACTTAGGACTTGCCAATTGCAGAAGTAATTGGTGAATACTAAGGGACTCTGGACCTCGAGGTCAAACCTTCAGGTCAGGGCTGCAGACGTCATTGCTGCCAGTGGATTTTAAAGGGCATGCTGTCTAGCTACCACTTCCTCCCTGGCCCCAGACAACAAGATTGAACCCTGAATCAAATTGAGTGTAAATTGCTTTCTTTTGCTCCAGGAAAACAGATGGTTATGCTTGTCATTTCTTACCACAGGCCAGCCTCAGACATTGTGGAGCCCTCTCCTCAGAACTCTGGCTTCCAGGGGAGCTAATCTCCAGGTTCACTAAGTGAATTAATTTTATTATTATCATATTGATAATGTGGATTCCTTAGCCACTTTGGGAAGCCAGTCTCTCCCGGAGCCTTTCTTAGTGGTGCCCACAGTCACAGCCCAGGGGCCATTGTTTGCATGACAGTTCTGGTTCATTGCCAACACCTGAGTCTTTCTGTTCTTACCACAGGAAAACTGTCACACACACACACACACACACACACATATACACAACCACACATATGTGCATGTGGCGTGTGTGACATACATATGTTCATTCTTCTTGGGGAAACATGCTTGAGACCACGAATCCTGACAATACTACTGGAGAAACATAGAGATTTGTTCAGTTTCTCTCCTGCTCTTAACTTTTGCCTTGGCTGGGTTTGAGAAGAGGCAAGGAGGAAGAGGAAACTCCAGCAGTCAAGGTTCCTGACTGAATGTCAGGACCAAGTCCTGGTAGGATTAGGGGTCCACTTTTTACCAAAGAACCAATTCCTTCAATCTCAGAATCTAATATTTTATGTTATTGTTGTTACTGTTTGAAGATGAATCTCTTTTCTGTCTTATTTTCCCAACAACTGCTTCCAGAGCTAGCAGAAATTGACACTCAAAATCCAAAACTGAGCAGGGCGTGGTGGCTCACACCTGTAATCTCAGCATTTAACAGGTAGAGTCAGGCGGGAGGCTCAATTTTTGTACCAACCTGAGTTTCATAGTGAATTGCAGCCCAGTCTGGGCTACAGAGTGAGATCCAGTGTAAGCAAGACAAAAGAAAGATAAAAATATACCACTTAATACTATTTTATGTGTGGGTTGAAGGTGTGGCTCAGTGCCAGAGCTTTTGCCTAGTGTGTGTGTGTGTGTGACACCCTGAATTTTATTCCCAGCACCACCACACACCCCCAAAAAGGACTGAAAGATTCTGCTTTGCTTAGTTCATGTTCGTGTGTTATAATCTCCTCTAGATGCGACTATTCATTAAATGCCCTTCATGCTGAAGGAGGATGGTGGTTTCGTTTGTTTAGAAGAACTTAAACATAGAGTCTTAAACATGAGATAGCCAGGTGTTAGTAGCACACACCTTTAGTCCCAGTACTGGGGAGTCAGAGATAGGTGGATCTCTGAGTTTGAGACCAGTCTGGTCTACAAGAACTAGTTCCAGGGCAGACTCCAAAGCAATACAGAGAAACCCTGTCTCAAAAAACCAACAAACAAACAACCTGAGATGAGTGCTTGCCATGCACACTTTACAGGAACCGAGAACGTTCTTGTGCAGACAGCTGCCTTTAAAGGGAGACCCTGGACTCAGGTGGCAAGTGTGTATGTTGTAGGGTAGGGGTGGGAGGTTGGGGGGCTGCTCCAGTCCAACTGATTATTTGTTGTTGGCAGCACATATGCCCAGTGAGTTGAAATTGTGGCCCCTGAATTCTTTTGACTTTCAAATGTTGAACTTGTTGTTTTAAGCATTTGTATATATAAGTCCAAGGGGTGGCGAGTTGTTTAGCAGCCGGCTCCCCACCCCACGCCATATTGCCTGTAGCTTTCTTCCTCCTGCTAACACTGCGAGGGAAGTACTTGTCACACAGGGGAGCCCGTAGCCAGGGATAGGGTTCTGTCACTTCACACCTCATCCCTGACCTCACTGTGTTACCACCTCCTCTCCCCCAATATTTGTTGTCTGGTGTCAGCAGGGAGAGCATTCTTTAGTAACCCTTCACCCTGGCTTTTAAAGGACTTCTGGCTTGCCTAGGATCAGTTTTAGGGAACCCTCTTCCAAAGAGATGCTGATAAGCTGGGTGATTTTTTTTGTTTGTTTGTTTTTTTTTTTTCAAAAAGAGGATTTTATTCATAGTTCCCTTTACAGTTCCATCACAGTATTTTTTTTAAATAACTCAGGTGTTATGAGGAGAATTAGAAAATTAAATAACTTATGTCATGTGGACTGTAAGTCTTTTATTTGTAAGATTCTATAAATAAAGCTTTATTCTGTAAGAATTGGTGAGAGTCCCAAGTGTGATCATTGGTCTGAAGATCTGGAGTGTAATGGACAATCTTTGACACAAGGTGGCGATGGTGTGTTGCTGATTTACAAAGGGTTGTTTTACTGGGTCCAGCTTACATTTTGGCTGTGGGAACTTAGAAGGGACTTCATGTATCATATAATTCACTTATTTTAAAAAAGATTCACCTTTGGCCCAGTGTGATGCTCAGGAACAAACCACTTAGCTATGGGTGAGGCCTTCGGAAGAGTAAAGACTGTATAGAGTTCTGTACAGAACTCACTTAAGTAATTTTTTCTTTACATTTATTGTGTGTACTTGTGTTTGAGTGGACATGTTCATGCATTCCGGGGTGTGTGCACAGATGTTAGTTCTCTCCTACTATGCGGTTTCTGAGGATTCAATTCATGTCATCAGGCTTGGGGACAAACAAACTTACCCACTGAGCCATCTTGCTCAGATAATTAATTACTCTGTAGGTTATGAGGTGATGTTTAAATGCCACACTGCTCTGGTTTAGCTCTTACTGGGTGAGATGCCTGCAGGGCACTCATGCTGGTGATCCAACCAAGATCTCACCATAGTTTGCTGGGGAATAAATCTTACAGGGTGAAGGGGCTGGAGAGATGGGTGGGCTCAGTGGTTAAGAGCACTGGCTGCTCTTCCAGAGGATCTGGATTCAGTTCCCAGCACCCACACAGCAGCTCATAACTGTCTAACTGCAGTTCCAAGGGATCTTATACCCTCACACAGACATGCATGCAGGTACAACACCAATGCACACAAAAATCTTCCAGGTGTGAATTGTCACTAGTTACTAGCAGTTCCCTGAGTATCAGAGTCGGCTCATTGATGAGTGGAACCCTCTACAGTAGTATCCTAGCACCTTAAGATTTCAGCCAGAGCATGTTAAGGTTTATTCTGGTCTTGCTGGGGTACAACAGTTTGCCCAGCCTGAAGCAAACTGTATCACCCCACCCCCGGTTTAAAATAGCTCTGCAAAACCACCTGTCCTGGAATACCATCCACAAATCATATTGGCCTTTGATTTATTTTTCTGTGTATATGGGTGTTTTGTCTACATTTATATGTTGTGTACCATTTGCATGCCCAGTGCCTGAGGGTAGATAGATAGATAGCATCAAATCCCCTGGGACCCGAGTAGCTAAGTGTTGTGCGGGGTATCAAACCTAGGTCTTTTGGAGGAGCATCCACTGCTCGTAACTGCTGAGCCAGCTCTCCGACCCCTTGTATTGCTCTTTTAATTTGCATTAGTTTTCTGCCCTTTTGCTGGTGTTGTCACAGAGAATATTGGCCACTGTACCGGCATCTACCCTTTCCCTGGAACTTCCTCCTTATGCTCTTAGTACTTTCCTAGGCTGAGTTTGTTTTTTCTCTTTGCATGACTCGATTCAGGGCTTGCATTATTAACTGAAGTTAGCACACCAAACTCCTGGGTGGAGGCTTCGGTTGCTTTCTGATACGTGAGCAGTTGCTATGCAGGAGAAACGAATGAGACAGCCAGATGAGACATCTGGGTTCCCTTTTTCTTTGGCAGTGTGCTTCCAAGTGATGCTTTGCCTTCTCCTCATCTGGCCCACGTTCATTTAGAAACACATACTCGGAAGAGGTGAAGTTACAGCACAGAAGGCAATGTGACACAGAAGTAAACAGGCCTGTAAGATGATTAAAGCTGTCACTGCAGACATCCCTTTGTAATACTCTTAGCCTGCTAAGCCCTTTGGGGGAGGGGGTGGGATGCCTGTAAACTGGAAATGTCTTCTCAAGTAATGAGTTAGGCTCCCTCCCTCACTGCTTCTTTTCTAAGCAGCGATGCTTAAATCTGAGAAAAAATCCATTCTGAGAAGTAGCGAAGATACTCAACACGGAACAAAATACCTATCTTACTTTAAAGACGGTGCACACTTTGTGGTCTAGCATGGCACACATATTCCTGAAGACTGCTGGTTTCCCCACTCAATACCCATTGACAGTCAATTTCTTCATTCTTCTGGAATACATTGAATTACAATCTGTGTCTTCTAGACTGTGTGTGTGTGTGTGTGTGTGTGTGTG